ACCCTCAATATATATGGAATGGCCATTCATTCTCGCACATGATGACAATTATGATGACATTTGGTATAAAACAGACAACAATCTCCATATATCGTAAGTATCAACATGACCCTTAATGTGTATAAGAAACATGTACAACAACATACTGCTAACTTTTCTCATCTCATTCATAATTATATTCACATACAAAATTATAAATCGTATACAAAATTATAAATCTTATACAAAATTAACCCTACATTTACATCATTGCAACTTTTTGTTATTCTTATATATCATGGCAGCTTTTGTTATCTCCTGTCTTCGTTGATTTTGATTGTGGCTTACGAGATCGTTTAATATTCGCGATCGATCCCACTCTCCAACCTATCTTATGTATCAGATCTTTCCACTTACAAAATCACCAGTTGCCCCTGTAGAACTGATCGATTCCATCCACATCATCACATACATGCCGCAATCATGTCTGTTACAAAATTTGAAAACCACACATGTCAATTATGATGAATACTGCATAAATTAAGCTTTCTATTTGTGATAACATCTCATACCCATTCAATTGCTTATTCTTCTTATGCTCCACAAATTTGAAATTTTTCAAGGGATACTTTCCTAGAGATCCACAGGATTCAACCCAAATGCGTTTCTTATTATAAAAATCTAATATTTTAATCTGCATTAAAATAGAAGAAGTTATGATCCAAAAAAATTATGCATTATAATTTACATAATGTCCTTTCATACATACATACATACCAATCTCTTAGCATCCTTCACTCTCTGTTTAGCTGCTTCAGTTGTAAACATACTATCATATATTGTTGCAACACGATCTACCATATCCAACACCAACAGATACCAATGTGAATTATGGTAGTTTATTGTGATCATGATCTGTAACAAATTTCACACCCAATTTGACAAAATTCAACATTCTATATCCGAAAACATCATTTGTAATTGGTATGGTGTCTTACCTTCTCACAGTCGGTGAATTTCACATAGTTATTCAATATGGGACCCCAGAAGGTAGCAATACTCTTAACACTTTCTTTGATGTTGGCATCAAACGCCTGCTGCTACAATTACGCAACAAACATTATTAATTTACCGTCTATAACACTACTTATCTCTATTTATTAATTTAATTCACCGCTAAGTGGTATGGAAGGTAGCCAATCCTCCGGAGTGACTTCTGAGAATCGTAGCATACTGTCCAGGCGAGAAAATCAATAACCTAACAAAATTAATTACACAATCAGAACATATTCAATAAGTTTTAACATTTTCTACTTTCTACTTACCACACCGCCAACCCATTCCGTAGGCTTCAACGTTGCAACGTCGTATACACTAGCGAATTGATTTCCCATTGAGATTACAGAATATCTGTATGAATCATTAGGATTAATATGTTGTCATGAAATATTTAAATATAACTCACAAAGCAATATATTTCACTTACTCTGATTCTAACTCACTATTCCATAAATAATCACAAATTGTAGCTTCGATGTCATCAATTTCGCTTGGAATATCCGCTTTTTCAACCTACAATTTTGCATACAAATTTTTGTCACAACAACATAAAAAAAATCAAATTAAGTTTTCTTTTATTCAACTTACCTTCTGCTTCTTCTTCTGGGGTGCAGGACATTCCGAATCCAAATCTGCTGCTATAACACTCTTCGGTGTATAAATGACATCGACTTCCTTCCTCCTCATTTCTTCCATATCTTCTTCTTCCTCTTCCCTCTTTTCTTCTTCATATTTTTTCAGTTCATCGTATTTTTTTTCTACATAGCTCTTCATCTCTTTTATTTCACCCTTCAATTGATCTCCTTCATCCAAGATTTATCAACCACCCCCTTCACCCCCGTAAGTTCACTCCTCAATTCCACAACCTCCTTCACCACTCCCTCAAATTTTTCACCCGTCACCATCTTAATATCACCCCTTAACACCCCAACTTCTTTCACCACTTCACCCCTCAACACCTCTACTTCTTTCACCACTCCATCTATTTTTCCATCCACTACCCCCTTATGCCTCTCAAGTGTATCTTCGACTCTCTCAAGTTTCTCTTCGACTCTATCAAGTTTCTCTTCGACTCTTGATTGTCTTTGCATGATATCAAATTGGATTTTTTTGATATCAGCCAATTCAGACATCAAAATGTCGAAGTTACTATGTTTTCCCTCATCGTCGTCCCACTCACTATCATCCCCCAATACAACCATCTCTCCTTTCTTCTCCTCTGCCTCCTCTACATCCTTGCCAATAACCTTCAAAATTAAATTACAATATTAAGACATTGATTATATTCTTAATATTATTTAATTACATTTATTACTCTTTCTTGCTTTTTCGCTCTATCCAACTTCAACTTCACCATCACTCTAACCACCTCTTCCTTCCCCCATGCACGGATGCGTGCCACTCCGGTTCTTTCATAAGCCGGCACTGCCTCACAGCCCGACCAAAAATCGAACAGTGCAACCTGCATTTATAATAAAATTTATATTTTTATATAAAAACACAAAAAAGTTCTTCAACTCATTTACCTCTAAGATTGCTATGCACCCTTTGAGGTGATTATTGATTCAATCAATATCGAATGGATATATTCAGCCCAATTGAATTCACCCTTCAAGCCTTCATCGCAAATGAGCTTCATATGTTCCTTGTTCGTTGACGTATGACCCGTTGGACAAAGAAAGATACCGACAAGGTATAATAGAACTCTGGCCTTCAGCTCATCCCCAACGTAAGATCCACTTTTTATTTCCTCTTCAATTTCAGCATATGTCACCTTCCGCTTCAAACCATATTTGGAGGCAAGTGCTTTCCAGTCCTTACTCTTACAGACTTCTACAACACTTTTGCCTTCATTTTCTACCCCCAATACGGCTGCAGCACATGGGATCCCGAGATAAAATGAAAAATCACCATACTTAGCAATACATTGTCTGACATCAAATTGTGCCATCAAGGATCGACACAATTCCCTCCGAATAGGTCGATCCCTTACTCCTACCAATGATCCAAAATCTATTTCTCCCAGCACATTCAACTGACCCTTCTCCTTAAGGTGTTTAATTAATGAATTCACCCTTTTAATGCTGCATCTTGTCGACACTTCCTACATTTTTTAACAATATATAATGTTATAGTTCTTATATATTTTGTATCAACGTATTTACAAGTTTAATGAATACCTTATTTTCATGTGTTTTTCTCCGTTCTTTGTATTCTTTACTATCATTCATTGACTGTGTGATGTAAGGTTCCTTTTCAGCATCACTCATTGAATTCCATTTGGACCTCACATCTTTTGTCACCCAATATTAAACATAAACGTTTCTTAATCAATACATTAACACTAAATACTACTCAATGTCAATTTCATTTTACATACCGAACCGCTCTGTGTGCCATCTTCCTTCATCGTTTTGCATTCGGCCATATTGTCAACATTTAAAATTTGTAATCAATTTAAAGTTTATCGATACTTTAATCCAATTACCATTTCAACAATAATAACAAAAAGACATTGATACTTACTAGAAGTACATATATCCACCATTTGGTTGTTTTCAAGTCTCGGCCTCAATTTCAAAGTCATTTGCGCCAACAATTTTCCAACCCATTGACTCCATTTTTCCTTCATATATCAGTTTACGCAAATCAAATTATTTTGTTACATACACTTTTTTCAATATACAAATATAGATAACTACTCTTGTGGTAAAACAGTTTTATTCAAAAGAATTTGAATGGCCACTACAAAATGTGTCGGCACATTTATACAACCTATAATATCATTTTCTACCTATAATATTTAATAAAAGTATCGACATTTATATTTTACCTTCAATATCACTTTCTACCTGCAATCGGTCCCAAATGTTTCTTTACTCCAAAACCCCAAACAACACATAAAAACCATATTCGCGATTACTGTAATAATAAAAAACTAGGGTTTCGACAACATACTTTTCGATTCGACTACATCAACAAACAAACAAACATCGCTTTAGAAACGCCTTCTGAAATGCAGCAACAATTACGCTTCGATTTCAAAAACTCGTCCGTTCTATCAATTTTCAGAGGATATTTAGATATGGCCTTTATATTTTCATCGGATATGTTATTTATATTTAATCAATACAAATACAAAAGTGTCGATACTTTTATGTCAGGTGTCGATACTTTCGAAAGGATAATTACCTATTTCTTTGAAAGTGTCGATAATTTATTACACTTACTTACGAAAGTATCGACACTTTCAATATATCCGGTATCGTTTTACCGGTTTTATCATTTTGATACCGGTTTTATCATATTTTTACCTGTTATATCGTTGTGGATCGTTATATTTTTTTAAAGTATTGACACATTATAGGCGCTAAAACTGCTTCTCTTTTAAATTCACAAAGTGTCGATCCTTATATAAAGTATCAACACTTTCAATATATCCGGTAACGTTTTACCGGTTTTATCATTTTGATACCGGTTTTATCATATTTTTACCTGGTATATCGTTTTGGATCGATACATTTTTTAAAAGTATCGACACTTTATATGATTTAAAAATGCTTCTCTTTTAAATTCACGAAGTGTCGATCCTTATATTAAAGTACCGACACTTTAAATGTATCCGGTAGCGCTTTACCGGTTTTATCATTTCAATACCGGTTTTGTCATAATTTTACCTGTTATATCGTTTTGGATCGACACATTTTTAATTTGGATCGATACGAACCGACAAGTTAAGTTTGCCGGTTGCACAATTTTTTAATATTTCTTCATGACTTAGACCTACTACATTATTATTAGTCAACATTTCCGGTAGCGTTAAACCGAATTTATTAAATATCTTTTAATGTATCCGGTAACGCCGTATATTAACAGTATATTAATATGCTTTAATCCACCTTCTTTGTTCCGAAATTTTCTCGAGAAACCATACTTTCTAGATGGCATTTCTCACACCTTGACCTGAAATTCCCATCGCCTCTACAAAAAATTTCTCTAACCCTATCCGTCGCTCTAGATTCCTCAAAAGCCTCGCGATTTGGAAGAACGATGACCAGAAAGTTTGGTCAAGTACTAACGTTAGGTTTGGTGTTAAAGATGTTCGTAGTACGGTTTCAGATTTGAGCCAAAGCTTGAGGTTGTACGGACAATTTTCTGCCCCTGTGAAGCAAGGATCGAAGCCCAGCAAAGAGGAAGAGGAGAAGCAGGATTATTACGTGAATATGGGTTACGCAATTCGGACCTTGAGAGAGGAGTTCCCGGACATCTTCTACAGGGAGCTAAATTTTGATATTTACAGGTTTGGATTCAATTCTTCTTGTTATTTTCTGTTCGCATTTGTACTTATGGATCATTTTTTCCCGTAATTTTTCATTTGATTGCTTTGAAATGTAGGAAATAATAGAGAATTCTGAAGAATAATTTGAGTTTTCAAAATTATCCCTAGTAATGTTTACCTCGAATGAACGAAATTAGAACTCAAATCGCTACAAATCTGAAACATATATTGACAGGGGTAGTATTATATATATATAGACTTTTTTTTCTGTTTATATAATTCTAATTGAGCAAAATTTGAACATTTTGAACCCTTTGTTTAAGTGTTCCCTAATTGGGATAGTGCGAATCGGTCCTGAAATCAGGTGAGATAGCGATTTCTGGTAGCAGGCCTGAATCATTGCTTCAAATGTTGAAAATTATAGTTGTCTCAAGCTCTAATCCTTTGTTTCCCTTAGTTTTCTTTGGCCATAAAAAAAAAAAAAAAAAGAGCGATGCTATCTGTTCGAATATCGGGTATAACTCATTGTAAGCTTATTTTTTTATGCAATTAGATATTCTATAAATGTAGCTTTTGTTTTGAATGTTGACCGACTACAAGTAAGAAAGTATTGGCTCTTAGCTTAGGACAAAGAAGTCTCAACGAGCTCTGTTAATTACGATCGACTTCTCGTCGTTAATCTTATATATAGTTATATACGAATGTTCTTGGACCGTTTTCATTCTATTTATACAGGTTACTTATCCTCTGTTTAGGGATGATATTGTTTTCAATGATCCTCTCAACACTTTCATCGGAATCGACAATTACAAGTCAATCTTCTGGGCACTGCGATTCCATGGGAGGATATTTTTCAAGGCTCTCTGGCTTGACATTATTAGCGTATGGCAACCGATGGAAAACGTCATAATGTTCCGCTGGATTGTCCATGGCATTCCACGAGTCCCATGGGAGAGCCGCGGTCGATTTGACGGCACTTCCGAATACAAACTCGACAAGAATGGTAAAATATACGAGCATCGAGCCGACAACATTGCGCTGAATTCACACCCGAAGTTTCATGTGCTAGCCGTGGAGGATCTAATTCGATCCGTAGGTTGCCCCTCGACCCCGAGGCCAACTTACTTAGAGATTTCATCGGCTTAGTCTCCGGAAAGAACCTAATAAACCCACTTGTTTTTTTTTAAAATTTGTAAATAATGTGTTTCATGGTTGTAGATATTGAGCTATAACATGAAATGGCAGTTATAATATGTAATGCTTGCTGTAGATCACAAAGCAAGCACTTGGCACTACATGGGTTGTATTCTCATGTTTTATATATTCTCAAACAAATTGTATAGTCCTTGTAAAGTATGTAATTTTGGTATTGGGATACATTTTACACAGATAAATTAATAAAATAAATTATTTATTAAAAAATAAATTTTCTTTCAACTTCAAGACTTATTTTAAGTGAAAAGGAAGATTATCCTAAAAGCACTACCATGTTTGTCTTAACCAATAACATTTTATTTGCTTATATGGTACTTCAAGGCCATTACATTAAAAACAATTAAGCAATTCTTGTGGCTTCTTCTCCACCAACGGTACCACGGACAGTACTTGCCCCGTTTGCCATAGCTGAGAGGAAACAATCATTCACGCCATTCGAGACTGTCAGTCGGCGCGTTATCTATGGAAACAACTCATACCAGGATCAAAGGAGATAAGTTTCTTTTCTTCTAACATTTATGAATGGCTTAATGCTAATTTGTCTAAAAACGCAGGTTTGGACCATGACAAGTTCCAGTGGAGGCACCTATTCGGCATTTTAATTTGGAGACTTTGGAAGCATCAAAATAACCTGATTTTTAACAGACAGATTTGGTCGGTGCCTGAAAAGATCCGTGCTGCCTGGATGTAGGCCAAAGCAATTCGGCAAAAAACAAAAGAAGAACGTCCGCTTGTGAATACTTCCGGACCGAAGCAGAAATGGCGATCTCCTCGTGCTAGGATCGTGAAAATCAATACGGACGAAGCAGTGAATTAGAACTCTATGGAGACGGCGAGCGAAGGCGTGCTTTGTGACAGTTTTGGCAACTGGATGTCAGGATATCACCAGAATATCGGTCGTTGTTCGGTGTTCCAAGCCGAATTGTGGGGAGTCCTCGAAGTACTTAATATTGCTTGGAATCACAGCTTTCGGAATATTATAATAGAGACGGATAACACAGACGTGGTCAAGCTTAACATCTGTTGCCCGAGGTCATAAACCCGTTGTTACCAAACGAGTACGAGATTTGCTTAAACAAAATTAGAGCGTTATAATCATGCATGTTGCCCGAGAAGCGAACGCTGTGGTTGATAGCTTGGCTCTTCTTGGACGAACCAGGCCGTATGGCCTTGAAATCTTGTAACAAATCCCGAGCGGTATTCTAAATTCTCTTAGACAGGATAGTGGTGCTAATGCCAGCTTCTATACTCACTGAGTTTCAGTGACTACCCTTATTACCCAGAAAAGAAAAAAAATACTATTCTTTTAAGTTTTCTAAATTTAATGTATAATATGTATCACATTTTTAATGAAAATTCAGATTGAATAATATGATTCATGAAAGGGTTAAATTAATTTGTTTAAACTCTATATTTACAAATATAAAGGGTAGATATCATATAGAACTTTAAACCTAATGGATATTAAAGTTCTGATAATAAAGTACATCAAATTCATATTTAATACATAATGTTCTAATCATAATATACTTTCACATAAACAAAAATATTCCCCTTTAGATGTCTATGATAATAATGTGCATCATTAAAACCTTACTGATAATAATATATGACTGATATCTAGATGAAAATATAGAATGCACTAACGCACAAATAATAATAATAATAATAACAATAACAATAACAATAATAATAATAATAGTATAAATATACTTATCTAAGAATATAATATTTTGTCGTGATTGAAAATTTGATCTTTATCATCCAAGATTTTAAATAAAAGTCATGAATGATGAATCTAATTGGCAATGTAAATAAATTATTAATACTGAGCAAGTCCAATTGATAACGTATTATGAAATAAAAATAACGAAATAATAAGAACAATAACAAGAAGAAATCCGAGGATAAGGCAAAAAATCATTTATTCTTATTACAATATAAATGGTCTATAATGTTTTCTCTAGACTTTATATTTATAGACATAAGAAGTAGATATAGGGATGAGCATGGGACTCGAACCCGATCCGACCTGATCAGGTCGAGTTTTTCTAAAAAAAATCAAGTTCGGGTCGGGTTTAGGGTGAAAAATACTCGACCCGGCCCCAAAAAAATAATATTTTATTTTATATATTTAGGAATAATTACAATAATAATCCTCTATATATTATTTTTTTCAATTAAGTCACAGTTTTTATTGAATAAAAATAATATTTTTTATTATTTCTAGTCTGATCGGTTTTTTAAGTTATATATTGGGTCGAGTTCAGGTTAGGTAAAATCTTGTTTCATGCGGGTCGGGTCAGATCTCGGGTGGAGGAGTCATTGTTCTCCGGTCGGGTCGGGTGGACAAAAGATCTGAACCAACCCGACCCATGCCCATCCCTAAGTAGATATCATTTAGAACTTAATCTTAATCTTAATGGATATTAAAATACTAATAATAAAGCACATCAAAATCTTATTTAGTACATAACGTTCTAATCATAATGAACATTCTCATAAATAGATATTAACAATGATTAAATTTTAATTAGTGTTACAAATTAAACGAATACTTAAATTTAAAAAGAATTAAAATATAAAAAAATGGATAAGTATTTTAAAATGGGTGAGTGGTTAAAGTAAGAATTTTAAACGAATTAGAATTCTTAGCTTTAAGGCTGCTAAAGTGATAGTGTTGGAGTGAATTACGGAGAGGGAAAACATAGAACAATTCCCTATGATTTCTTGGTTTGGCATTCCGAAAGTTTTTCATTCATGGCTGAATCGATTCGTTCACCGTCAAAGCCAGTTCACCGTTCTAATGATGAAGACAACATTGATCGCATTAGCGACCTACCTGACTCGATTCTGTGTCACATCCTTACCTTTCTCCCCACCAACATGTCCGTCGCCACCAGCATTTTGTCAAAAAGATGGATAGATTTATGGAGTGATGTTCCAATTCTCTCATATTCCACTGAATTTAAGGGCAGCTTTGCAGATTATCTAGATAAAGCGTTCACCATGTGTCAAGCTCAAAAAATTCACAAGTTTAGCTTAGATTTCAAACTTATCGTGACAATTGATGAAGAGCATTTAGTTACATGGATTAGTGCTGCAATTGATCGTAATGTTCGAGAGTTGAAATTCAGTTTCTGTTCTTCACTAGGACCACTCATTCGATTGCCTGTTCGTGTTTTTTCTTGTAGAGCACTTGTGTGTCTAAAGTTGTTCGATATTTTTGTTGATGTCCCTACAAATGCCTGTTTCCAAAGACTTAAGATTCTTCAGCTAGAACGAGTATTGTATGCAAATGAGGGTCTGTCACACCCCAAAATTTTAATTTAAAATATATTTATTTTATTTTATTTTATTAAGGGATTAAAATGGGAAGTTTTGATCGTATGTTTGGGAAGTTTAGGCACTTAGTTTTCCCATTTTGAGGATGTAAAGAAAATTTAAAAAAAGGCCCTTCTCGGTTTTAATCCCAAAATAAAATCAGGACCCTCGAGTCAACTCAAAACTCCCTCACCCGTCGTTCCCTTCTCCGTCGATCCACCTCGCTTCGACCATCATGGAGTGCCCCGTCGCCCCCAGCAGAGCCGATAGTATCCTCTGACCCGTCCTCGACCTTTGATTTACCCGAATCGACCGTTGGTGGCCACGAGGAAGGGAAAAACGTTGTTCGAGCCACCCATCTCAGATCTCGACTGTCACTGATCGGTGTTCGTCACCACCAACTCCATTGGATGTTTCGTCATCGTCCAACCAAAACTCCTATGGCTATTCATCGAAAGGTGCCGCCAATCGCTGTGAAGAATCGTTCAAAAGTCGTCGGAGGAACCTAGGTCGCACGTCGTTCTTCCTCGATTACGTTCACCTCGATCATCAGCTTGTCTCACCGCCATCTAGATAGGTTCCCCGCGTCACTCCAGTCAAAACCCAACCGGTGGGTCACGTCGACATCGCCGGTTTCGCCTGTCCGCCATCGAGGTGAGTGTTTCGACCTTTTGTTTTAGTTTCCGATGGTTTTAGCTGGTTTTGAATGTTGATACGACTTGGTATTGATGATTTGATGACCTCGGAGTGCTCGACAGTCGCCCCCGTCGCCACGTACCGCCGCATGCGCGTGGGGCTCCTCCCCAACCTTAGAACATCCTAGAATTGACTTGAATCGGTCTAAGTCAACTCAGATCGAACAGATTCAACCCGAACCGATATGTCCGTTGACTTTGACATGTCCGTTGACTTTGACAAAAAAGTCAAAAATTTTAAAAAGTCATATTTTATGTTTTTTGATGTCATGAGTCCGAATCCGAAGTTTGTTTTACCAAATTCTAACTGAAAGCCTTCGAATTGACCCGTTAACTCGAACATTCATATTCAATTTAAGCAATTTAATTAATTACTTTTAATTTAAGGGTCAATGACTAATTTGTGTTATCATATATTTAAGGTACCCGCGATTCTCCTGATCATTCGTCTGCTCGACACAGTTCCTCCCGATTCGCTCAACCGTGAGAGCCTATGATTACTCGTATAGTTCTGCAACCCTGTTAAATACTCATTTTAATGTACTACTTCGATAATAACCTTGTTCTAATATGACCTAGGTTCGCGTACAATCGAAGAGCGTAGTGAAGTTGATGCTTGATAGATCTCCCGAACTAATTCTTTTTGTGAGGTGTGTTCCTTGTGTGTCATATACATGTTTTAAATATATGTTTGAAATATCATGTACACATGACTGTTTTATCTTATTTGCAATGTGATTATTTGTTTTGACTTGATTTCATATGATTTATCTGTTTCAAGTCTGATTTCTGATTTACTGAAGTTTTTAATCATGCTTGTCTGATTATGTTCTTTGTTTACTATTTTTATTGAATTAGTACATGTCTAAACTATGATTTTTTGCTACTGCTAATTATTGTCTGAAAACTATTTTCTTCGGGGTACTCTAGGATCTGATATGAAGTCTTTGTAGGTTCAGCTCTGATCAAGCTGGTAATTCCTTATACAGGTTCAACACCAATCAGCTGGTAATTTCTTATGGACTGAAGGCGACCCTTAGGTGGGCTCTTAGGCCCAATGAGCCTTGTAGTAAGACCTTATGACCCTAAGGTACTCCTTTAGAGTGGTACCTCTACTATGTGCATTGGGTAAGTCCTTATGAGCATGAGGGCACACCCCTCAAGTGTAGGGGTGTTCAAAATTTGGTTTTAATCGAATTAACCAACCGAACCGAACTAATTCGATTAATTCGGTTGGCCACCAAATTAGTTCGGTCGGGGAACGGTTAAGGTTTTTTTGGATATTCGGTTAACGGTTAATTCGGTTTGAAATCGGTTAATTAATCGAATTAACCGAAATAAAATTTTAAATATATTATATATAACATATGGGCTCAGCCCAAACCATTTAAAACTCAATTAATAATTTAAGATCGAATAAATTTTAAGCCTAAATCAATATTAATTAATTAAAATTTTATATAAATTTTTTATTTTATAATTATATATTATTTAAATTAATTGTAAACTATTTTTCTGAATTAAAAAATATTAAATATATAATATATAACATATGGGCTCACCCCAAACCATTTAAAACACAATTAATAATTTAAGATTCAATAACTTTTTAAACCTAAATCAATATTAATTAATTAAAAAATTTATATAAAATTTATATTTTATAATTATATATTATTTAAATTAATTATAAACTGTTTTTTAATTATAAAATATTTAATTTTTATATAAATTAAAAAATTTAAAAAAATTTCGGTTAATTCGAAAATTAACAAAATTAACTAAAATTTATTCGGTTCGGTTAATATTTTCGAAAAAAGTTCGATTCGGTTCGGTTAACAGTTAAAAAAAAAGTTCGATTAATTCGGTTAATGGTAGTTCGGTCGATTCGGCCACCGAATTAACCGAATGAACAGCCCTACTCAAGTGGGCACCTACGTTTCAGCTAAGGTAAGATCTTATGACCCAAGGTGCTCCCTTAGGTTGGCACCTACGTCTTTTGGACCTAGGGTAAGTCTTTATGGATGCAGTTTCCCAGAACTACATATGGTGTTTGGTTGGAGGGCAATTATGTATTTTAAGCCAAAAACACTACTAACGTTTTCATTACTTGGAACTGAACTGATTTGAAAACTTAACTATATGTTTTAACTGATTTGCAATATGTTTGAAATCACACACACAGTGTACTTGAATGTTGATATTGAAGATACAATACTCTTATGATAGGGAATCAAACTCGTCTCTTTTTAGCCTACAAAGCTATAATGTGTGTTCTGTAGGTAGAATCGTTGTAAATGACTTTTCGTTTTCGCTTCTCCAGGTGCTTGAGAATTTGTTTTGTCTTACGAATTGATGTGTTCATTCATGACTGATTCGTTTTGTGCACCTTCCAAACGAGTTTGTGTTTCTAATGATGAAAAAGAAAAAGATGAAGAAGACATTGATCGCATTAGCAACCTACTGGACTCAATTATTTGTCTTATCCTTTCCTTTCTCCCCACCAAAATGTCTGTTGCCACCAGCATTTTTTCAAAGAGATGGATAGATTTATGGACTACTGTTCCCGTTCTCTCGTTCAGTTCTGCTGAATTTATCAGCAGCTTTGAGGACTCTTTAGATAAGTGTTAACCATGTGACAAGCTCCAACTATTTCCCAGTTTAGCTTAGATACATCGATTAGTGTTGCAATTAAACGTAATGTTCAAGAGTTGAAACTCAACTTCTATTCACCTGGCCCACTCGTTCGATTGCCTGATCATGTTTTTGCTTGCAAAACCCTCGTGTGTCTAAAGTTGTTTGATAACGTATTCGTGGATGTCCTGGCAAATGTGTGTTTCCAAGGTCTCAGTATTCTTCAATTAGAGCGAGTAGGCTATGCCAATGAAGGTCTTTGAACATGCTACTTTCTAGTTGTCCAATTATCGAGGATTTGATTATCGGGAGGGCTTGGAATGATATATTCTTGTTATGGGCTTCAATGTTCCTTATTGAAGGGAATCAATGTGAAGAGAGCTAGTTATAGAACCTTTTTTTACGAGTTACTGATCAGTGCCCCACTGCTTGAAAGGATAGAATTGTCGGATATAAATATTGGGAATTTTCAGGTAGAAGATTTATCCAACTTGGTAGAGGCAATTATCGATGTTGGTAAAGTACCCCTGCTCACCAAAGATATGGGCAACGTTAAGTATTTATCTTGATCAGAATCTGCCTTAATGTCAATGTGTTCTGATATGTACTTTCCTGTGTTTTGTATTCTGGTCTGTTTGGAAATCACAACCAGCTGTGAATATTGGGATACCCTGGTTACCTTGCTCAAATGTTCAGACAATCTCAAGGCTTTAGTGTTTCATATTAAAGTACCATTACACCACTTGGGTTGTACGTGTGTTAAGTCATTGCCGAAGACCGTTCCGAAGTGTGTGTCGGTGAGCTTGAAGACACTTAAATTGACTGGATTCATTAATCAGGAATCTAACTGGAAATTCGTGCTATATGTTATGGAGAATGCCGAGTTCTTGAAGCAAATGAAGATCGGCACTTCCTCACGCTTGAAGAAACGACGCTACCGTTTGAAAAACATGTTGAAGTACCCTAGGGCCTCAATGGCATGCGAATCTAGCTTTTTCATGGACTCATCAGGGTCAAGAATTTCACTTGTGATTGAACTTGTATGCACCGTTAAAGCAGCTGGTTCCGTAAATGTAGGTTGGGTAATTATTATAGGTGTTTGAGTTTTGTAAATGACATGTTTTATGGATAATGGGTATATTTAACTAAGCATTTCAATTTCTAATTTAGCACGTAAGAGAGAATAGTTTTGCACTACAATAAATCCTACGGACGTAGACAAGCCTTCGACATAAGATTTTAAAATTTGGGTGACATTATATCAGTTTTGTTCGACTTGGGGTTATCATGATTGTTTTTTAGAATTTGATTATAAATACTCTTAAAATTTTTATATTATTTAATTTAGAGATTATATGTGAACCTTGACATGGAATTGATGAAATTTTAATTTGGAGATTTAATTTGTAAATCTCTCTATTTTTATTGAAAATCAAAAAGAATATTCGATTAGGTTGAATCAGAATTGAGTATACGTCTCAAAATTTAGAAGAGGTAGAAAACCATTATTGCTCGGGGTATGTTACGTAAGTGTAAGTAAGTAATATCTTTCTTTGACCAAAAATCTGATCGACCTCAACCCGTACTATCTTTAAATACAATATCTATTATATCAAAATATAAAGAATAAAAATTAGATACATAAGTGTACATGAAACTAGTTTGCAGACCATAACCTTACTACCCTCAAGATGAAATATTAGAAATTGATTAGTTTGCATACCACAACCTAAATGACATAGTACAATAACCTAGATTTCTAATAGATTACTTTAATATGGACTAACTCTTTCATGATAATAAATAACATATAATTATTTAACTATTATGTATGTCATATACATGAAATAAGATCCAATTATACACCGTAAATTATATATATGTGTGTGTGTTATATTTAAATGAAAGATTGTTAGATCATATGAATATGACATATATAATAATTAAATAACACATAACTAATGCGATTGTTGTTACATTTATCGTAGCTAAACCATCCTAATCATGCATATTAACGTAAATCAAATGGAATATGTTGAGCATGAATGTGTAGCATAAACATTACATATAATATGATCATAATATGTGTGTTTCCAACTAACCTTCTACTACAATTATAATAATTCAAGACGAAAAGGAAAAAGAAAAATAAATATATATTTTATTAATAATTGAAGAGA